CCATCTATATGCCAGTGGCTCTCAGACTTACTTATTCGGCTCAGAAACTCTCTTCTGAGCTCCAGATCTACTGGATATACTCATCCACTAATCCTTCCTGTCTTAGAAAATGACACTCCATTCACCCAGTTGTTCATCCGGAAACCTGGGAGTCCTATGAGTTCCTTTTTCAATATATTAACAAGTCCTAGTGATTAATATGTACATTTATGTTTTATATTACATATAATATATGTCTAATATATTATGAATATATTTTATAGTTTATAATATATATTATATATTTTTAAAATTATTTTCACTGATTATGCTATTACAGTTGTCCTGATTTTTCTTCCTTTTCCCCCTTTTACCCAATGCCTCCTACTCCCTCAGACAATCCCCCTACCATTTTTCATGTGCATGGGCCATGAAGTACTTATTTGTACTTCTTAATCCCCTCACCTCTCCATCCATTATCCCCCTTCCCCCTCCTATCTGGCAACATTCCAGTAACATATTTTCTCTTGCTTTTAAGAGTCTCTCTTTATCTTTAAACTTTGGCCTTTTAACAGTGCTCTGTCTTGGTATGGGTCTCTTTGCATCCATCATAACTGGGACTGTCTGTGCTCCCTGGACTTGCGTGTCTACTTCCTTCACCAAATTAGGGAAGTTTTCTTTCACTATTTTTTCAGATAGACTTTCAATTTCTTGCTCTTTCTCTTCCCCTCCTGGCATTCCTATGAGGTGAATGTGGATCTCTTAAACTTGTGCCAGAAGCTGTTTATACTATGCTCATATTTTTGGACTCTTTTTCTTCTTGTTGTTCTGCACGGGTTTTTGTTTATTTGTTTTTGCTTTCTTATGTTCCAAATCATTGATTTGATTCTCAGCCTCATCTATTCTATTGTTGTTTCCTTATAAGTTGTTCTTTATTCCAATTAGTGCATCCTTTGTCTCTGACTGGGTCTGTTTTGTGCTGCTGAGGTCCTCACTAAGTTTCTTGCGCATCCTTATAACCAGTGTTTTGAACTCTGCATTTGATAGATTGCTTATCTCCACTTTGTTTAGCTTTTTTCCTGGAGTTTTGATCTGTTCTTTCATCTGGGCCATGTTTCTTTGTCTCTTCATTTTGGCATCCTCCCTGTGTTTGTTTCTATGTATTAGGTACAGCTGCTATGACTCCCTGTCTTGGTAGCATGGCCTAATGTAGTAGGTGCCCAGTGGCACAGCTACCCCATCACCCAAGCTGGGTACTTGAGATATGCTCTTTGTGTGGGCTGAGTATATCCTCCTGTTATAGTTGAGCCTTGGTTGCTGTTGGCAAGTCAGTGGGAGGGATTTACCAAAGCCAGTCAGCTGCAAGGATTGGCTGTGACCACCTACCACCAACCTCCATCTTCTGCGGAGGATCAGCTGTGAAGGGGCAGGGTAGTGGTGCTCCAACATGGTCCGTAGCTATCTGATGGGTGTCCTGGCCCTGGGGTTTCCCAAGTTGTGCAGGCCAAGGTCAGCCCCTATCAGTGTTTTGGCCTGGGGCACCCTGCCTGAACTATAGAGTGATTTGGGATGGCTGCTACTTGTGCTGGGCTTGGAGATTCCCAAGTGAAGGCAAGCTGTCTGCAATTAGGGATCACTGAAGCAGCTGTTGCTTGTTTGATAGGATTTAGGAGCAGAGATGAGCCATTTTATGGAAAAGTAGCTTGGGTGGGCCTGTAAGTTAGGTGGGGTAGAGACTCTGTGGATCTCCAAAGTGGGTCACACACTGTTAGCCAGGTTGATGTAGTCTTAAATATGACACCAGCTTATTGGGGCAATGGCCTCTGCTCACCCTGATGCCAGATACTTCAGTCTCTCCCTGTATATCACTGGTGCCCTTCAAGCTGCAACCTCAGTGCTGGAGCTCAAAGGGTGCAAGTCTGAGTAGGTAAGTCCATGTGTGGGTTCCCAAGAGGAACTGCTTAGGGCTCCAGCAGACTTCTCCACTGATTCAATCTCCAATGGTTTTTACAGCCAGACGTTGTGGGGACTTATCTTCCTGTCACTGGAATCCTGGGCTAGGGGTCCTGGTGTGGGTCTGGGACTCCTCACCCCCAAGATATTCCTCTTGAATTTTTATCCATGTAGGTGTGGGGCCAGCCCATTCCACATCCATGCCCCTCCTACCAGTCTGGATGGATGTTGTTTCTTCAATTCCATAGTTGTTAGACTTCCATTTAACTCGATTTTCTAGTTGCCACTCTTCCATTCAACTCAATTTCTGATGTTCCCGAGTGATGGTTGGTTTATATTTTACTTGTAATTTTGATACGGCTGTGCGAAGAGGCGCGCCATGTCTGCCTATGTCGCCATCTTGACTAAAAGCCTCCACATATACTTAAAATACATAAAATATATTGTGTGTATCATATATAGTTTCATATATGGTAGTGCAAGTGGAGGGATATATGATATATACTCCAAACTTATTCCTAGCTATTTATCACGTGTCACCTGTAGCTTCCTAAATTGTCTCCCCACTTCCTATTCTTCACACTGAAGACAGAAAAATCTTTTAAAATGACAAACCAATTCTCTTTCTCTTTCTCTCATATACTCATTGATACACAGACATATCATTGCAAACTTTTCAGTTACATAGCACCTAAGATAAAATCAAAACTCCTTAACATATCTTGTGTCAAAAGAAGTCTCAGAGACAAAAGCATTTTGAAAAAGTTTTCCTTAGAAAAACACTTGCAAAAGTTCACACCTTAGAAGTACTGGTTCATCAAACACACCCCCCACCAAGGTTATAAGGTTTATAGTTTGTTGGTTCATGCTGGAAAAAGAGCGATTTTGTCATATAATTGCCATATTCCTCCAAATTATTGCATATCTTCAGACTCAACAAAAGTTAGCATTGCAAAAATCATTATAAAACAAAAAAAAGTTGTTAGGGAGTCAGTAACATGGGAAATGCTGAAGGTTTTGTTCACTTTGGAAACTATGGGTAGTATGATTTACCTCAGAGTGCTGAGCATTTTGTGTTTTCTTACTGTGGAATGTGTATATTTACTCAAATTGGAAGCAGGGCAAAGGTGCCAGTTTTGCTTCACATGGGTAAATCTGCATGATTTGTTTGGCTACTTGGTATGTCTTCAGCCTCAACTCATGCTTCTCTCCCACTCATTTTTTATGTTGAAGCCCCATGGAACATAGAACACCTTCTTTCAGGTTTATAAAACTTTCCCCAGTGCACTGTCCCTGTCTGGTACACACTCCCCTATAGCCCTTACTTAGCCAAATGTCTCTTGTCTTCCCAGTTGAAACTTTTATGTCACTTTCTCTAAATTCTGTTCTAAATTGAGTTCTCCTGTTATTTAATTGCAGTATTTTGCAGTATTATCACTTAGGATGCCTTCAGTTTCCGATAACTGAAAGACTAACTCAAAGGTATTGCTAGGGTCTCTGAGGCATGGGGATTTGGGGGACAGGGGCTTTGGGCATGGAGAATAACTTTCATCACTATGTGTACCTTTGTTTAATGCTCACCTTATAAACTTTAAAATGTATTAAACAGTATTTCCTAGAAATACTGTGCTGTGCTATCTGATACAGTACCCACTAAACATATGTGGCTATTGAGCACTTGAAATATACTTAAAGCAACTGTGTAATGGATTTTTAAATTTTATTGATTTTTAAATTTTAAACCGGTAGCTGATTCAGTTATTGGAAAACTTTCAAATATGTTTGGGAAAACTCAAGTATGTGAATCTCTTTTTCCAAATGTAAATTTTATAAAATATTAATACAGATCCAGTATTTCCAATTAAAATTAAACAATTAATTAAGTATGTAAGTATATACTGGATTTCCAAAATTTAGTATGAAAAAATGTAAATTATCTTAATTTTTGTATTGATTACACGTTGAAATGATTATGAAATGTAATCAATGTATTGATTACACGTTGAAATAGACTAAAATCGTCTATTTCTTTTAACTTTTTCAATGTGGCCACTGGTAAATTTCAAATGACCCACATGGCTAGCATTACATTTGTATTGGATAGCACAGCTCCTAACACTGAAATAGTTATGCAACTAATCAAAAGATAAATTTAGTAAAGTTTCCACTTAAAGGTTTTGAGGGAGGTGGAAGAAAAAACAAACATCAAAATGCTATTGTTTAAAGATAAATGCGTAACATGATGAAGCTGATTGCAGTTGTAGGGCAGAATGAATGAAGTATTGGTAAAAGCTGGCTATTGCAGTAATACTGACAGGAAAGTGATGATAATCCTGTGGGCTAGAATGGAGATGGTGGACATGAAGAGAATACACACATCTAGAGACAGTTTGGGAAGTAAAACTAAACTGTTTACAAATTTATTTAATCAGATTCCCTTCTGGTTTAATCAAAACATTGATTATGGACTAACTTAATCATGTTCCATAACTAATAAAAACGGTAATTAAAATGTATTTAATCGAATTCTATAATTTAATCAAAACATTGTACAACTTTAATCAAATTCAACAATTTTATTAAAGGCACAAATCTAGCAGATTTTCATATGCTTCAAAGCATTATAAAAAAAAGTCCCACAAAAGATACATGATCTATCACAATAACTTAATTCACGTAACATATATTTTTTAAACTGATTACAAAAGTAGTACAGGCATGACTCGCTCATAATAGCTGCTAAGCGAGGAACCAAACATTGAGTTGAGAATGAATGATTGAAATATTCACAGCAACCTGAAGAAAACAAGACTGGCCACGCCCATTCCACAGACGCAAGTCCTGGACTCGGAGAAGAGGATCGTTACAGCGTTGGCTGGAGGTCACACGTCATCAGTAGCCAGGCCGTGAACCCCGCCTCATTCATCGTCCCGCCAACCCCAGGGTGGGGCGGTCCACCTTCGGGGTGGGCCTACGGCATTGAGGGGCTCAGATTCAGAATACGCTGGTCAGTGGAGGGGCGTTCTAGTTAAAGAAAGCTACCGACTCTGCAGGCCTGTCAACCTTCCTGCAAGACTGCTTCCGGGGCAGGGGGCGGGGCTGCCGGAAGTAGCCGGAGACGTCTGCTGCTCCTTGTTTAAGCGGATGAAGGAAAGAGAAACCAGACCTCTGGCGGCTCCACGGAGCGATAGTCAGGATTACTAGACCTCGAACTGTTGCTAACCTCTGGACGAGCCAGAAGCCAGGAGTACCAGCTGTGGAGCGGCGGGGCTAGGCGCCCGCTTGCCTTTTGATCTCATCATGTCGCGGGGCTCCATCGAGATTCCCCTCCGGGACACTGACGAGGTAAGTGTCGCTTTGGGGGGAGGGTTGGGGCAGTGAACTTGCACGATCCCCTCTTCCCACTTTCTCTCGGGCCTGTTTCAGAAGCGAGAGAATGCACTCCCCCAAGAGCCCAGGTAAAAATCACCCGCAGAACCAGTGTTTACCTCCTTCCCCAGCCTCTGCGCCCTCCCTCCCAGGTTGAGAACGTTGTGTTCCTGCAGCCTAGGGACCACACGAGAAGGAGTTCTTGAAAGTTCCTCTTCAACGTGTTCATTTGACAGGACACTTGCTCATTTCCTAATTCAGGGACACAGGGGTGTGAAAGTGCTCAATAAACTGTAAAGCACCTCCCAGTTCGCAGAGGTGGGTGCTGATGTCACTGTGATCGCTCTGCCGCTCAAACTGTCTATCTTTCCCTGGGAATATATAGAATGTCGTCCTTTTCTTCCTTGGAAACTGGATTCTGTCATGGTGCACTGTGTTCGTTACACAGGCTCCATCAGCGAAATAGAGACCTCAAGATATAGCCTCTTCTATGTTCTGTTAGAATTAATCTCCTTTCCCTTCCCGGTGCCTCATTCATGGTGGCCTGTGGCTTGTATGAGTAAAGCTTTCAGCACTGATGTTCTCTTACCGGATATCTCATATTCTTATTTTTGTTCCTTTGGTTGGTTGAGATGTAATACACCTACTATAAGGTCCAGTGGTTTTTTATAGTAATATTCACAAAGTTGTGTAGCCATCATCATTATTTAATTCTGAACACCTTCGTACTACTATTTTTGTACACACATTCAGAAGTGTCTGTGACACACAATTGCTGTCTTCAAGACTAATGTGTACAGTGGCATTCAACTTTGCATTGCCCCTAGGAATGTCAGACCTATAACATCAGCCTGTCTGGAAAGCTTATCTGCACTTTGCCCGCATTATGTGTTAAGCAGGGTTTTGTTTTGTTATTTTTGAGTAAGCAAAGCATTTTTAGGTATTTTATACTTCTGGTGATTTGAAGATAGCTGATAGGATTTGTTTGCTTCTCTATGCATTTTCTTTAATATTACCATATAACCTACTAATCATGTGCTACTTAAACTTAATATGTACGGTTGGTCAGCTCTTCTGAGAGCTGACCCAAACCCTATGTATATCCATATTGATGTATATTTTTAAAAAGCAGCAAAGAAATGGGAATTTAAAAAAGAAAAAAGGCCCTGAATGGTGTGGCTCAGTGGATTGAGCCCTGGCCTGCGCACCAAAAGGTTGCCGGTTGATTCCCTGTCAGGGCACATCCTTCAGGCCAGGTCCCTAGTTGGGGGAGTGCGAGAAGGCAGCTGATCGCTGTTTCTCTTCACACAACGATGTTTCTCTCTTTCTTTCTCCCTTCCTCCTGTCCCTTCTCTCTAAAAATAAATAAAAATATTTTTAAAAAGTGAAAAAGTGCCTTGGCTGGTGTAGCTCAGTGGATTGAGCGCCGGCCTGCAAACGGAAGGGTCTGCAAACGGAAGGGTCGCTAGTTCAATTCCCATTCCATGGCACATGCCTGGGTTGCAGGCAGGTCCCCAGTAGGGGGCGTGTGAGAGGCAACCACACATTGATGTTTCTCCCGCTCTCTGGCTCCTTCCCTTTCCCTCTCTATAAAAATAAATAAATAAAATCTTTAAAAAGAAAAGAAAAAAGTTAAAAACCTGTATTTTTGTTTTAGGTCATTGAACTTGACTTTGATCAATTACCAGAGGGAGATGAAGTTATCAGTATTTTGAAACAGGAACACACACAACTGCACATATGGATTGCTTTGGCGGTCAGTATTCATGCAACAAATATTTTTTATATGTTGACTGGGAAAACTATGTGGTTTCTGTTTTCACATGCAGTAAAAACCAGTTTGGATGCACGGTAAGTTAATTGCATTGTGTGTGGAAGTTAACTGTATTACTGTTTATGGAACAAAAAGGTCAGTTTCCTAAATGATGTGGTACTCCACTGGTAAATTAGTGTTTGTTGTTGGTAAAAGCAAATTCATTTCAGTTAAATAATATTCTATATTAAGTATTTGATTACTTAGTGATTGATTACTCAGTGAAGACTGGCGTAATGTTTAAGGCTAAACTGAGAAAAGTGAGTGCCAGGATGTAAACATTACTTTTTAACATTGTTTCCCACAACAATAAAATACTTCCCATAAAATATTCTAGAAGGGGATTAGGTTTCAGGCTAACTCACAAAAGCCCTTGTAGATGAAGTTTATCTCAGGCTTAAGTTAGTTGTCCTCTTTGGTCCCTTCTCTAACATAAATGCCACTGGAAATTCTCAGGAAAAATCACCATAGAGAGCCTAAAATTCTACCACCCTCTAACCTCCCTGGCACCAGCTGTATAATAATGTTTCCTTTTTATGGGATCATTATAGTAAATGATTATCATAATGTAGTAAACACTATACTCGTTATTCCTGAGCAAGTGTGCCACAGGTCACTTTTATGTAAAGATACATAGGAGGCTTCTAATATTGCCTTAAAGGCTCAGAGAGGTGGGTCTGGGATTGGACTTGTGTGTAGTGCCCAAGCCTAACGCTAAGAGTTTCTTAGATGCGGATTTACAGAGAAGTACTTGCAGTGATAAACAGTGACTTGCTGGCTTGAAGTGCTGTATTTTCCTACTCTATACAGGATAATTCATTAATGTTTGCCACACATTGTTTAAAACCAGAAGGTAACTTTGATTTTTTTTTGTAGTACAAATGTTTTCTTTAACAGCACTTACACAAACACTTGAGCGTTGGGGAATTAACATGATGTTGTGATCAAATAAATTGGTGAAACATTGTGGGCTATAGATTGTTACATAGAAAAGTATGTAGGCTTGGGATTAGAGAATCCTTTGATCAGATTCCAACACGGCTGCTAACTAGCCCTGTGACCTTAGACAAATAATCTGCCCTCTGAGGCTGTTTCCTCATTTAAAATATGAGGGTGTTAACCTGGCTGGCGTGGCTCAGTGGATTGAGAGGCTTGAAAACTAAAATGTGAGGGTGTTAGTATTCTCTTTAAGGATGGTTGTATAGATTAGGTATAAAGTATATGAAGTTTCTAGCATAGCATGTGGCCCATAGTAGGTGGTTAATAAGTGATTGATATTCCTTTTATTATTAATAAATTACACGTGCCCAGAGAAGTTATTCAACAAGCCCAAAGTTATAGAACCCAAGTTTTTTGTTTGGAGTTCTTTATATCTCTCATTATTGCTTTCTTTCCTGGGCTCTGATTTAGTTTGAAATCAACTATTGCTAGGTAAGAAGTTGGAAGCATTTGCAATAATTTTAAATTTTTAACAGCTTAATTGGAAATAGTTAACCTATAATAACCTGCACATACTTTTTATGTACCATTTGAGAAGTTTCAGCATATGCCAACATTTGTGAAATCTTTATTAGAATCAAGGAAATGAATATACCCATCGCCTCTAAAACTTTCCTCCAAACTCTCCCCTCCCCCAACAGTGCCCAGGTAACCACTGATCTACTTTTTGTTGCTAAAGAGTAGTTTGCATTTTATGGAGTTTTATATCAATGGAATCATATAGTATGTACTCCTTTTGGCCTGGCTTCTTTCATGCAAAATAATTATTTTGAGATTTATTTATGTTATAGTATATATCAACAGTTCCTTCCTTTTTATTGGTGAGCAGTAGCCATTGTACAGTTGAACCACAGCTTGTTTGTCCATTCACTTATTGATCAATAATTATGTTATTTCCTGTTTTTGACTATTACAAATAAAACTGCTATAAAGATTTGTGTACAACTTCTTCTATGGACACATGATTTAATAATTCTGATTTGATTCTTTCACCTTATAGCTGGAATACTACAAGCAAGGAAAAACAGAAGAGTTTGTAAAGTTGTTGGAAGCAGCACGTATAGATGGCAATTTGGACTACAGAGACCATGAAAAAGACCAGATGACCTGCTTGGATACATTGGCAGCCTACTATGTACAACAGGCTCGGAAGGAAAAGAATAAGGACAATAAGAAAGATCTTATTACACAGGCAACCCTGTTGTATACAATGGCTGATAAAATTATTATGTATGATCAGGTAAAATAAGTCATATTTTTTGAATTTATGAAAGGAAAAAATACCACATGAAAGTAAAGTGTGTGTGTGATAGGCAATCATTTTTTTTGAAAGAATTTTTCTTACAACAGCATGCTTGATACAAAGTCCAAATGAAGAGGGGTTCCTTGTTAAAATTGGAATTTCTTTGGTCCTTGGACTGTGGAAGTAATTTTGCAGATAAAACTTATTCACATGTTTAGTCAGTAATTTCACTACCTCCAGGTGAATTTCAAACATATTTTAAAGAGTTTGAACTTTTCTTTTTGTCATTGTTCCTGGCACAGAAGTCTTGTTGCACTTCAGGACAGTTTCTCAGTTTGTTATTAAGAATTGCTTATTACTATTTTAAATATTTTGCAGTTGGTAGAGGAATTTTGGTGATACTGTACCTCATTTCTATATGCTTTTCATTTTAGTGTTATACATTCGTGTTAAATTATGGGTAGTCCTTGGTAAAGTCAAGTCTAAGACGACGTGTTACTTTTTCAGAACCACTTGCTGGGGAGAGCCTGCTTCTGCCTTCTTGAAGGCGACAAAATGGATCAGGCCGATGCACAGTTCCACTTTGTGCTCAACCAGTCTCCAAATAATATTCCAGCCCTTCTTGGTGAGTCATTTTCAGCAACCACCTTATAAACCTGTGTTTTTCAGCCTGAAATATATCTCTTTGCCATAAATAGCTCCTTAAGTAATGGGCTGGGCACCAGAGTGGAAGAGCTTTACCTTATTAAAAGTGTAACGATCTGCAATAGATCATTGTTTCTATTGAAATTACAGAAATAAAATTATACCAATTAAGAGCAATTTGTTATCCACTTCTAAAGCATCAATAAACATTCTCTATTTGGACAACTCTAAGCTATTTTAATTATTATTAACATTTAATATAAAGACAGAACTTCTGCTTATAGGCATAAATTAATATACCCTTATGGAAAACAAGATTTGATAGGAAATCACTTTCACTGTTGTCAGGTATTTCTTAATGACATGTATTTGATTTAGGTGAGTGTAGAGCCTCTGAGACTTGTGTTCTTTAATTAGTACATGTTTATGTTTAAAAATTGTTACAGGTAAAGCTTGCATTTCATTCAACAAGAAGGATTACAGAGGAGCTCTTGCTTACTATAAGAAAGCATTGCGTACTAACCCAGGATGTCCAGGTAAGAGAAAAGTCTGAAATGTAAAATAATGTTTTTAGACTTAAAATATTAAGGATTTGGCAATAGCTTTTAAAGTTAGTTGTGATAGGATACTTGTAAGATTGTTGAAATGGCAGAATTGAAACTTTGAAACACATGTTATATTTGATTTAAAAGCTGAATAGTATATCCTGTTATACTCTTTTTTGCCCTATACTACTTTTCTTTCTAAAATCTTGTTATTTTAGCAAATTTTACTGAGTACCAAGTATGTGCCAGGCACTATTCTAGACCTAGGCAATACAGCAAAGAACCAAAGAGACAGAAGTCACTGCACTCACAGAATGTATTTTCCAGTGAGGAATATAACATGAGTAAAATACATACTGTATAAGATATTGGTAAGAGCTAGAGAGAAAAACAAAGCAGAAAAGGAATATGAGAAGCATTGAAGGTGGGTTGCACAGAAAGGTTAACCAGTGAAATGCATCATTGAAACAGTACCCAGAGGAGTGATAATAGCTAGAAAAGAGGTCTAAGGATGGGCACTCTGAGATTCAGAGGTTATGGAAATGAGGAAGAGTGGACAAAGGAGCCTGGGAAGGAGCAGCCAGAAATAGAGAAGGAAAAAATTTTCCAGAAACTCAGGTGTGCTCTTAAAGGGACAATGCACAAACTCATTCTCTCAGCCATTTACCCTGAGTTTCACCCTGAGTGGAGGGATGGTGGCTCAGGGAGTGCCATAGTCACACAGAAAGAGACTGAGCTATGTGGCTTTAGGGTTAGGCTTAGAGGGACAGCCTCTGTGTTGCTTCTGTGTTGAGCCCTACCACGTGGTCCATGGGCACCATATTTCCTCGGTTAAGCACTCCCTTCACATAGCATTAGCCTGGTGAACTACACTAGCTTCACCCTGGGACCCCACCCTGGCCAACTCCTTCATGGCTGGGGGCTTTGTCAGAGGCAGCCAGCCTGGTACTGTATTGCAGTCTTTCCTGAAGAGCTCTCCAGAAATGCCAGTCAAGTTCATAGAGTGCCAGAGACACACAGGGAGAAACTAAGTTGTGTGACTTTAGGGCAAGTGTCATCTTTCCACATGGCCAACAGGCACCACCTTTCCTGTGCAGAACCCTCCCTTCATTGGCCAGATCTTAATCTGCTTTAGCCTGATGAACTCTGTTAGCTCCACCATGACGACTCCCTTCGAACCCTGCCCCCCAGCCCCCACCACAAAGGCTCCAGTCAGATGGCAGCTGGCTTCATTGTATGTACTCTGCTACCTTTGCTGAATGGCTTCAGACACAGCGCTGGTGCCAAGTTTGAAACTTTATTAACCTGGTAAGCACCATTTGCCCTTACCTGGGGAATACTCACCTACTCCCTGAGGCTCTTTGAGTAGCTATGCTAATTGGCAGCTGGATGTGGTAGTAGGTCTCAGTTTGCCTTGGCTCTTTTGCTCTCTTGCCCCAGGCCCAGTACTGGTGGCGGCCAGTCATGGTTCACAGCTCAGATTCTCCTGTACGCACCAAGACCCAGTGGAGGCAGCCACTAATTCTGACTCAATAATAGCTCCTAACATGTAGCCCAGGGCCAGTTACATGCAGCATCTGACATCAATTTGCACCAAGTCCTTCACAAGAAACCCCAGAAAAAACATGCCAGGGGGCTGGTTTTAGACAACCACAGAGCACCAACCAATTGGTTTCACAAGTGACACACCCAAAGGGAAATCTTGGCAGACCCAAGACCCTTGCTGGGGCAAATTCCACTACATGGGGCAAGCCCCCAAATAGCAGCTCATTCACTGTGGGCATGGCCAATTCTTAAAGCCAGCCCGAGGGTCAGTTGCCTTGTGGATGTGCCAACAGTGATCAAGGCTCAACTACAACAGGAGAGCACACATAATTCACAGCAGGTATATTCCCAGGGCATCCAGCTCAGGTGATCAGGAAGAATGCCACTGGGTCCCACAAGACACTACTTAGGTCTCCTCTGTGAGGACTGGGAGACATAGCAGACCTACCTGATTCACAGAAACAAACACAAAGAGGCAACCTAAATGGGGAGATAAAAAAAAATACGCCCTGAATGGGGGGACAAAAAAAATACGTCCTGAATGGGGGGACAAAAAAAATATGCCCTAAAAAGAACAGGAGAAATGTCCAGAAAAAACTAAATTAAATGGATGCAAGTGTTCTATCAGATACACAGTTCAAGATAATGGCTATAAGGATGCTCATGGAACTTATGGGGAGAGTAGATGAACTCAACTTCAACAGAGAGATAGTAAGCATAAAAAAGGACATAGAAGCCATAAAAAGAACCAGTCAGAAAGGAAGAGTACAATAACAAATGAAGAATACTTTAGAAAGAATCAATAACAGATTAGATGAAGCAAAAAAAGAATTTTAAAAAATGAAGATAGTTCAAGGGACCTCTGGGACAACATCAGATATAACAATATTAGCATCTTTGGGGTACCAGAAAGAGAAGAGAAAGAGAAAGGGATTGAGAACCTATTTGAAGAAATTATGACTGAAAACTTCCCTAACCTGATGAAAAAGAAAGATACACAAGTCCAGGAAGTGCAGAGTCCCAAACAAGATGAACCCAGCCAGGCCCATACCAAGACACATTATAACTACAATACTGAAGGTTAAAGACAAAGAGAGAATCTTAAAAGCTGCAAGAGAAAGGTATCTACAAGGAAGCTCCTGTAAGACTGACAGCTGATTTCTCAACAGAAACTTTGCAGGCTAGAAGGGATTGGTATGAAATGTTCAAGTGAGGAAAGGAAAGGACCTATACCCTTGCCCAGTAAACTGAGACTACTTTACCCAGTAAAGATGACATTTAAAATTGAAGGAGACATAAAGAGCTTCATAGAACAGACAAGAAAAAAGTAAAGGAGTCCTTCACTACCAAACCAATCTTATGAAAACTATTAAAAGAATTTTTATTAAGAAGAAGAAGTGAGCGAAAGGAACATAAATATGAATATTAAAATGGCAATAACTATGTACCTATCAAAAATCACTTTAAATGTAACTGTATTAAATGATCCAATCAAAAGACATAGGGCAGCTGAATGGATAAGAAAACAAGACCCATATATATGCTGCCTACAAGAGATCCACTTCAGATTGAAAAGCACAGACTGAAAGAAAAGGGATGGGAAAAAGATATTTCATGCAAATGGAAACGGGAAGAAAGCTTGGGTAGCAATACTTAGACAAAATAAACTTTATTTTTTTTTAAGTTAACCCTTTTTTAAAGAAATATTTATTTTTAAAGAGAGGAAGGGAGGGAGAAAGAAAGGGGAGAAACATTCATGTGTGAGAGATACATTGATTGGTTGCTTCTTGCATGCCCCCAGCTAAGGACCTGGCCTGCAACCTAGGCATGGGACCTAACCCGGAATCAAACTTGCAACCTTTGGGTTCACAGGCCGGCACTCATTCCACTGAACCACACCAGCCAGGGTGATATAACTCTTGTAGACATTTATGCACCCATCAAAGGAGCACCTAAACATATAAAGGAAATATTTATGGACATAAAGGGAGAGAGCAGCAGTGGTACAGTTAGAGTAGGGGACTTCAATACCCTGAAGAAAACACTGGATAGATTTTTAGAGCATTTCACATCTTAAAGCAGCAGAATATACATTCTTTTCAAGTGCACATGGATCATTTTCCAGGATGGACCACATGTTAGGCCACAGAACAAATTTCAATAAATTTAAGAAGATCAAAATTATATCTAAGCATCTTTGAACACAGTGTTACAAAATTAGAAGTCAATTACAAGGAAAAAACTGAAAAATGCACGAACACATGGAGACTAAATAACATTACTAAACAGTGAGTGGATTAACTGAGATCAAGGAAGAAATCAAAAGATTGCTTGAGACAAATGAAAATGTAAAGAAAACAACCTAAAACCTATGGGACACAGTGAAAGTAGTCCTAAGAAGGAATTCATAGCATCAGGATACCTCAAGAAACAGGAAAACTCTCAACAACCTTACACCTAAAGGAACTAGAGAGAGAACAATAAACAAAGCCCCAAGTGAATAGAAGGAAGGAAATAATAAAGATCAGAGTGAAAATAAAATAGAGTCTAAAAAACATACAAAATATCAAACCAAGAGCTGGTTCTTTGAACAGATAAACTAAATCGCTAAACCTTTAACCAGATTGCTCAGGAAAAAAGAGGACACAAATAAAATCAGAAAAGAAAGTGAATTAGCAACTGACACCACAGAAAAACAAAGTAGTATAAGATAGTACTACGAACAATTTTATGCAATCAGGTTGGACAATCTGGAAGGAATAGATAAATTCCTAGAAACATCCAACCTTCCAAGACTGAATCAAGAAGAAACAAAATCTGCATAGACTGATAATAACCTATGAAACTGATTCAGTAATCAAAAAACTCCAACAAACAAAAGTCCTGGACTGGATGGGTTCACAAATATATTTTACCAAGCATTCAAAGAACTAACACCTGTCTTTCTCACACTATTCTGGAGAAATCAAGAGGAAGGAAGATTCCTGAGCTCATTTTGTGAGTCCAGCAGTATCCTGATTCCAAAACCTGACAAAAACATTACAAAAAAGAAAATGACAGGCCAGCATTCCTAATTAACATACATGCAAAAGTCCTGAACAAAATATAAGCAAACCAGATTCAGCAGCTGGTTTGAGATCACACACTATGATCAGGTGAGATTTATTCCTGCTATGCAAGTTTAGTTCAATATCTGGAAATCAGCATGATATATGTACCACATAAACAAAATGAAGGATAAAAGTGATACGATTGCATCAATAGAAGCAGAAAATTAATTTGACAAAATCTAGCACCCATTTATGATAAAAACTCAAAGTGGGAATAGAGAGAACATATCTCAACATGAGAAAGGCTATATATGATAAACCCACAGCTATCATACGCAACTGGGAAAAAGTGAAAGTGTTTTTCTTAAGATCAGGGATAAGAGGGATGTCCACTTTCACCACTCTTATTCAATGCAGTGTTTGAAGTCCTAGCAATAACAGACAAGATGAAGAAGTCCAAAGAATTCTGTATAAAGAAAAGGCATCCAAATGGAGAGGAAGAAGTAAAATCATCATTATTTGCCAATGACATGATACTATATGGAAAGAACCCTAAAGATTACACTGAAAAATTGCTAGAACTGATAAATGAATTCAGTAAAGTAGCAGGATACAAAATAAATACTGAGAAATCAGTTGCATTTTTATACACCAATAATGAAGTATTGGAAAGAGAAACTAAGAAAACAATCCCATTTACAGTTACTCCAGACAACAACAACAAAACTGTAATTTTAACCGAGGAGGTAAAAGACCTATGCTTGCAAAATTGTAAGGCATTGAAGAAGATACAAATAAACGGAAGCATTTACCATGCTCAAGTATAGTAAGAATTGACTGCGTGAGAATGTCCATACTACCCAAAGCAACCTATAGGTTCACTACAATTTCTAATAAAATAGCAATTGGTGTGGTGTCCTTCACAGGACTAGAACAGATAATCCAAAAACTTAGCCCTGGCTGGGTTGCTTGGAGCATTGTCCCATACACCACAAGGTTGCAGGTTCAATCCCTGGTTCGGGTGCATAGGGGAAGCCACTGATCAATGTTTGTCTTTTATGTAGATGTTTCTCTTTCTCTCTGTAAAATCAGTAAACATATCCTCAGGTAGGATTAAAATTAAATATTTATATGGAACCACAAAAGACTCTGAATAGCCACAGCAATCTTGAGAAAGAAGAACAAAGTTGGAGGTGTCAACACTACCTATATCAAAATACAAGACTATAGTAGTCAAAACACGGTACTGTCATAAAAACAAATACATAGGTCAGTGGAACAAATAAAGAGTCCAGAAATAAACCCACCCTGTATAGACAATTAATATACGACAGAAAGCAAGAATATACAATAGGGTAAAGACAGTAAATTCAATAAATGGTATTAGGAAATTTGGACAGACATGCAAAAAATGGAACTTACCACCTTCTTAAACCATTTACAATAAATTCAAAATGAATTAAAAAGTTAAATGTAACACATGCAAAAAAATGAAACTAGACCACCTTCTTATACCATTTGCAAGAATAAACTCAAAATGGATTAAAAACTTAAACATAAGACTCAAAACCATAGAACTCCTAGAAGAAAATATAGGCAGTAAACTCTCTTACATTTCTCTAGCAATATTTTTTATGATATGTTTCATCAGGCAAGGGAAACAAAAGAAAAAAAAATAAATGAGACTTATAATGGAGTATTGGCCACAAAAATGGATGAAATCTTACCGTTCGCAACAGCATAGATGGACCTACCAGTGTATTATGCTAAGTGAAACAAGTCAGACAAAAAGGCGAATACCATATAATTTCAGTTATATGTGGACTCTAAAGATCAAAATAAATGAACAAACAAAGCAGAAATGAACTCATGGGTACAGAAAACAAAACTGATGGTTGCCAGAGGGGAAGGAGACTGGGGCACTAGGTGAAGAGGGTGAAGGGATTAGGAAGTACAAATTGGCCCTGGCTGGTGTGGCTCAGTGAATTGAGCACTGGCCTATGGACCAAGGGGCTGCTGGTTTGCATTCCAGTCAGGGCACATGCCTGGGGTGCGGGCCAAGGGGCAACCCGTCAATGTTTCTCTCACACATTGATGTTTCTGTACCTCTCTTTCTCCCTTCTATTCTCTCTAAAATTAAATAAATTTTTTAAAAAAGTACAAATTGGCAGTTGATGTTAGTGACAGGGATGTAAAGCACAGCATAGGGAGTATAGTCAATAATAATGTAATAACAGCGTGTGGTGCCAGATGAGTAGTAGACTTATCAGGGTGATCACTTAGCAAGTTAGGTAAATGTCTACCACTGTGCTGTGTACCTGAAACTAATATAATATTTAATGTCAGCTTAATTGAAAAGTAAAAACTTTTGAAATAAGTTATTTTTTAAAGATTTTATTTATTTATTTTTAGAGAGAGGGAAAAGGAGGGAGAAAAAGAGGGAGAGAATCATCAGCATGCAAGAGAAACGTTGATTGGTTGCCTCTCACCCTCCCCCAACCGGAGACCTGGTCTGTAACCCAGGCATATGCCCTGACTGGGAATTGAACTGACAACCATTCGGTTTGCCCACTGAGCCATGGTTGTCAGGGCCAAAAATAGAAAGATTTTTTAAATGTTTTCAGGAGAAGAACGTGTCAGACAGTGTCTGATGTTAGGCAAAGTAAAATAGAGATTGAGAATTGATCATTGGATTTTGCTGCATACAAATTATTAGTGACCTTGAAAAGAGCACTTTTAGTAAAATAAGCCAGGTGGTGAAAGACAGATACCATATGATCTCACCTTTAACAGGAACCTAAACAACAAAACAAACAAGCAAGCAAAATATGACCAAAGACACTGAAATACAGAACAGGCTGACAGGGACCAGAGGGGAGAGAGAGGGGAGGGAATTTCAGGAGAAAAGGGGAAGGATTTACAGGAATAAGTATAAAGGACAAATGGACAACAACTAAGGTGGGTGGAAATGGGAGGGAGGTGGGGAGCAATGGGGGGGGCTGGGATGGGAGTAAAAGAAAACTGTACTTGAACAATAATTAAATTAAAGTTTTTAAAAAGAGCACTTTTACTGGAATGGTAGGGGTGAGACCTCAGAGTGGATTCAAGAAAAAAAGGAAGGAAACGAATTAGAGGTAGCAAGGTAGATAGATCTCAAGTTTTGCTATTAAGGGAAGAATAGGAAAGGGGAGGGTTGACAACTGGAAAGGGAAATAGAATCAAGAAAGGATTTTTTAAAAGATGGGTGGATGTTTATCAGGCTGATCTAGTAGAGAAGGGAAATTTGATGATGAAGGAAAAATAGGGGAGGGTTGCTGGAGCAGTGTCCTTAAATAGATGAGAAGGGGTAGGATCTAATGACCAGAGGAGAGGTTCCATAGGTTGGCACATGTGTGTTTTGGCATGGCCTTGAAATTGGGTAGCGTGTATAAGTACAGCTATGAAGGGAATGATAGTATGTGCATGTAGTTCGTCACACTATTTAAGGTCTTAAGAAAGTTTTTTTGTTCTCTATTTTAAAACTGCTCTTCAAAAATTAGGATATTGAAGATCCAGTGTAGCCAGTAGTGTTGGAAGACAAGAAAAGCACCTGTGTTATAGATGTTTTGTTCTATGGTGATAAGGGTGTGTACATGAAGAAGGGTCAGGTTTGGGGAGACAGCAAGAATAGTAACCTTCAGTGAAATCAAGTTTATGATATACTACAAGATTCACAATGTAGTTACACTGAGGCTAATTTTGGAATTTTTGCAACTCATAAATGGAGGATGTTTAAGCACAGCATTTTAAAAATATTTAAATCCTAAAAATGCTCAAGTTTGATTTTATTTTTTTAGCGGAAGTTCGTTTAGGAATGGGCCATTGCTTTGTGAAACTTAACAAATTGGAGAAAGCTCGTCTCGCATTCAGCAGAGCACTGGAACTCAACTCCAAATGTGTGGGAGCATTGGTTGGACTGGCTGTGCTAGAGCTCAACAATAAAGAGGTACGGGAGTGAAATAATCCTGGCTGATTTGTCAGGCTCACAGTCCCTTATGTAAAACTCTTGAGGCCAGAGTGTTTTAGAAATCAAGTTCAGGTTACAGAAATGTAATGTGGTGCCTGCACTGCATAATGTAGAGCACTCAGTTATTAGGACATAAGCCCCATGCAGACTTATATTTCTGTGGCAAAATGAGTGAGTTACATTAACAGGAAACTTTACCCACAATTCAGGTAAAGTTTGCCACCAAGTGAGCTTGCTCCAAGATAACAAAAAAACCCTTATTTATTAGAGAGTTTTGGATTTCAGAATCTCAGATAGGGGATTGTAGAATGTGTATCAGTTTGGGGTGCTTTCTATTGCGAGTAACAAACAAAAAGCACGCACTATAAGCAACTTAGTATACTATACCAGCTAAACTTGGATTTGGTACCCCAGTGTCATCAAACTCAGGGTTTTATATTTTTCTCTCCTCCCTTAATACATGGCCTTTCCTGCTCCTGTCCGTCACCTCATAGTTGCAAGATAGCTGTCACATCTCCAGGCATTTCATTACTTCATCCTTGTAAGGAGGAAGGAAAGGGAGAGAATAAAGCGCTTCCTATTAGAGAAGTTCTATCCTGCATTGAGAACGAAGTTCTCCATCATGCTTCCCCTGTGTGGGATTGCCTAGACAGGGCTTCCAGTGGAGGTGCTTATGCAATTAATTTTAAGAAAACTAATTTCTCAGAATTTAACTCACTGCTTGAAATGTTTTATCCCTGGTGAAGGTCAACTAAAACAAGAGCTATATTTTGGTACTGAACTTGGATTTGTATAACCTTATTTCTTCAGATTATAAAGAAAGAAAACAGAAAAGGTCTAATTAAGTAATATTTTCACTCAAACCTGACATCATTGGTTTTCTTTTAGGCTGATTCCATCAAAAATGGGGTCCAGCTTCTTTCCAGAGCCTATACTATTGATCCTAGCAACCCTATGGTATTGAACCACTTGGCAAATCACTTTTTCTTCAAAAAGGTAGGAAAAGTCCTTTCTCAAGTTCTTTACATTAAAAAAAATTTTTATTCAACTTAGAGACATAGACAACAGTATGGTTGTTACCAGAGGGAAAGGGGGTAGCGAGACAGTGAAGGGTAAAAGGGTCAAATATATGGCAACAAGAGGAGATCGGATGTTGGCTGATAAACACGCAATGTAATGTACAGATGATATATTACAGAATTACTCACTTGAAACCCATATGATTTTATTAACCAATTTCACCTCAATACATTTAATTTAAAAAAAAGAAAAATTTAATTTTCATTTGAAATTCAATATTGTATTAGTTTCAGGTGTATAGCATAGTGGTTAGACATTTATATAACTTAGGAAATGATTCCCCATAAGTCTCATACCCACCTGACACCATACATAGTTATTATATCATTGACTATATTCCATATGCTGTACTTTATGTCCCCATGACTGTTTTGCAACTGCAACTTGTACTTTTTAATTCCGTCACCTTTTTCACCCAGCTCCCCAGGGCCCTTCCTATCTGACAACCGTTAGCTTTTTTTCTGTACCTACGAGTTTATTTCTGTTTTGTTTGTTCATTTGTTTTTTAGATTTTATATATAAATGAAATCTAAATGGTATTTGTTTTTTTCCTCTCTGACTTTTTTCGTTAGCATAATACCCTCTAGGTTCATCCGTGTTGTCACAAATGGTATTTTATTTTGGGGCCACGTAATATTCCATTGCATATATGTCGCACATCTTCTTTATCCAATTGTCTATTGGTAGACACTTAAATTGCTTTCATATCTTGGCTATTGTAAATAATGCTGTAATGAACATAGGGGTGCATATATTTTTTCATGTTAGTGTTTTGTATTTCTTCAGATAAATATTCGGAAGTGGGATTGCTGGGTTGTATGTAATTCTATTTCAATTTTTTGAGGAACCTCCATGCTGTTTTCCATAGAAGTTGCTTCAAACTAGGATTTGTATCTGGGGTGGGTACATTTGTTAATTTATTTATTCATTTATCGTTTACTGACTGTTTATGTGGTACCCAACCCTGATAGGGATGTAGAAGTCGTAAGACGTGGTTTCTGCACTCGAGGAGTTTAGTTTTGTAGAAAACCGCCATGTGAAGTAATGTAAATGTAAAACTAAAGGTGTTTACCCTACTGTGGTAGAGAACTGAAAGAAGTGATCACCTGGTTAAAAGAGGGTTCTCACCAAGAAGGAAAATCTCTTGAATTGGGTTTTTACGAGGAGGTCACGAGGAAGCTAAAAGAGGAAAGGCGCAGATCTGTGAAATAGTCCTAGCAGTTCAGTTCGTAACCACATAAGCGTACAGCAGGCTCATGATAGGTGATGCATGGGATCGAGAGTGGGCGCTTGTGTAATGTACGGAGCTCGTGCCTCCTTATGTAGGCAACAAAACTCATTGGAATTTTTGCATATTGATTATGATACAATTTTTAAAGCTACCACTAAGACTATAGAAATGGTAGTATTTTAGGTTTCTTAGGTACTAAAGCCAAGATTTCATTGGCAAAGTTACACCATAAGCATGAAATCTGCCGTATGGAAACCAGGTACTAAATTATACTAAGAACTTTAAACTAGTTAAATAGCAGTTTAGGTAAAAAGTTTACAAAACTGTATTGCTCCTCATTAGTAAATACTGTTACTGTTATTGTTGCTATTAATAGGCATTCGATGCTCGCTAAATGCCAAACATTGTTAAAAGTACATTCCATTAATTTATATCATATTCACAACAATTCTATGAAGTGTAGGGTAGCATTATCCCCATTTCATGGATGAATAATTGAGACAGTTGATAACCTAAGGTCACACAGCTATTAACCATGATGCTTTACTTCCTCTGGCTATGGAAGCATACTGCGCTTTTGTAACGAATTATTAATGAAGCTTTATGCCATCATCGTAATGGTACTAAAAGGCAACTATTTAGGGAGAAGATGGAAATGTATCTTATAAACAAATGAAGTATACTGTTTAATACAAAACAATTGCACGTGTTAGTTTGGTTTTTACTGGGAAAAAACAAAGGATAGATTCTAAATATTTGAGTGCATATCTAATAATAACAGTGCTCTCAGCTGTTAGGACAGGTTCCTTGAACGAAAAGAGAATTATTCAGTTTTTCATCTTCATTGCTAGTCACCTTCCACTGCTGAAGATAAAGAACTGCTTGTATTCAACCCTGGCCCCGTAGCCCAGTTGGTTGGAACATCTTTCTATACGCCAAAAAGGTGTGGGTTTGATCCCCAGTCAGGGCACGTATATGAGGCAACTGGTTGGTGTTTCTTTCTTTCTCTCTCCCTCTCCCTCTCTCTTAAAAAAAAATCAATTAAACCATATCCTCAGGTGAGGACTAAAAAAATTGCTTATATTTAACATAGTCAGTACATACATAACCTCACAGATTTCCTAAGTGAAATAGGTAAATCAAGCCAGTCCAAGTGTTACTGGATCCTTGGTCTGTGATCAGCATTGTGCAAGGTGATGTGAGGTCATCTTGCACTGAATGTATTTCTTGAAGGTTTACAGAGCATGTTAATGTATGTTTTCTCAGTTCGTCATTTTAGCAGCCTTAGGAGGTAGGCAGGCTGTTTCTATTTTCCTTTCTATAGATGAGAAGATGGAGACTCCGCAAAGTAAAATAATATCACTTGCCAAATTGACTCAGCTAGCAGATACTGCAGTTGTTATGTCATCTTTTACTTCTCTGCCCATCACACTACGTTGCCTCCCATACAGAAGAATAATTTACCTGGATGAAAAGATATTATTAACTAATATCACAGACATATCAATAATTGGATGGTATATTGGGTTTATTGATAAGAGCTACCATGACTCCTGGAGCAGTTAACACAGACCTCCTCAGGAAGAGCTGAGACTTGAGCTAGATCTTTTGATTGGAAAGAGAAACAGCTAGAATACAAAGTGGATTATACACAAAAATTGAGGCAAGGGGGCACTAAAAAAGAGAAGTATCAGTTTTGCAAAAAAAGATATGAATAAGGATTTAAAATAGAATCTAATCTTTAATAGTTCAAATAGAACTATTTTATTCTCTAAAAATGTGTCATGAGTCATGGAATAATAAAAAATAGGAAAATTTTAGTAGATTCCATAGCAAGACAAACCCGACATTTAGCCCATACCCTCATTTCAGCTGAACAATAAATGTATAAATTTAGCTAAAAGACTATATAACATAATTAAAGTGTGGCATTTGAATCACTTTGTTCAAATTCAGGCATCACCATTATATAGTTATGTGGCTTTGGAGGAACAAATTAACTCCCTTAAACTTTAATTTTCTCATTTCTAAAACAGTAATAATACTTTGTAGCATTTGAGGATGGGAGTTAGAATTAAATGTAATATACACATTAAATACTTATCTAATGGGAAGCACTCAGTTGCTGTTAAAGACTGCAATCACATTATTATTCCTAATGTTTAAAAAAGGTCAAAACTGGCCATTGATCAAACAAAAGCTGTACTTAGACCCGATTTCTAGTTGAGTGAATAAAATACATTTCTATTAAAAGCAGAAGGTGGTTTTCCTACCCCTGAAGTAGAAACTCTGACTCTGGGACTCTTAAGGAGATTAGTTGGATAATCCAAATGAAAGTTGGTTCTATCAGGAGCATCATGACCTGTGCATTCAAATAGAACTGAATTCAAATCCAACTCAGCAGTGGCTATTCTCCTGTGATACATTTCCTTATAGTCAGAAACACCTGAATTCAGATTCTAACTCCACTTGAGACAACACACTTTATCTCTTTAAGCCTCCACTTCCCCATCATAAAAGGATAATAATGATAATCTTTGGAGGGTTTTGTGTATACTTGGAACTAATGTAAGTAGCATACCCAGTGTAGGCTTGGCATTTAGTAGTTCTTAATAATTTCTAACTGCTCCCATTACTGTTAATAAGGGACTGAAATTCTATTAGGTCTCCTTATCACAAAAACAGGGCTGATCACTGCAAAGGATTGTTGTAGGGATTTAACAAAGTAATAGATATAATGGGCAAATGGTAAATACTGGGTAAATGTTAGTTCCTATCTGCCCCAAATTTATCAGCAAGGGAACTGAGAAAAATGATTAGTAATTCTGGATACAGAGCTGTTATTGTTAATTCAGTTAACATTTTAAAAGAAGCGTTGGAGTTGAGACTCTTAGAGTTGTCTGAATCCATTCAACTGAGTTCTGATCCTCACTGCTCAGGATTATAGTAAAGTCCAGCACCTGGCCCTGCACGCGTTCCATAACACCGAAGTGGAGGCCATGCAAGCCGAAAGTTGCTACCAGCTGGCTAGGTCATTCCACGTTCAGGTAAGATCGTTGTCAGCCTTCTCTAAATGTTGGATCCTTCTCTAAATGTTGGATCATTTTATAGTTTTTCAAGTCTTTGAACAACTTTGTATGTATTGTTGGTCTTGTTTGATTTTCCTTTTTTAGGAAGATTACGACCAAGCTTTCCAATACTACTATCAGGCCACACAGTTTGCCTCATCCTCTTTTGTGCTGCCATTTTTTGGTTTGGGACAAATGTACATTTATCGAGGTGACAAAGAAAATGCATCTCAGTGCTTTGAGAAAGTTTTGAAAGCTTATCCTAATAATTATGAAACTATGAAAATTCTTGGCTCTCTGTATGCTGCCTCAGAAGATCAAGAAAAGCGAGATATTGCCAAGGTACTTTAAAAAAATCTTTCTGTTAGCTATTCCTACCTGGACTCTCATTCCTTAGTTCTTGTTATTGCTAGTAGAGATATGATGAAAGTGGTTTTTGTTAGCCCAACTAGCTTCAGTTGAAATAACAGTTGACTTATATTAAACAGGGTGGAGTGGCCACCCCTTTCTACTCTGACAGCTTGTGGTTGGAATGCTTTAGCTTCATGATCTCTGTTTCCCCAGGGCCATTTGAAAAAGGTCACAGAACAGTATCCTGATGATGTGGAAGCTTGGATTGAACTGGCACAAATCTTAGAACAGACTGATATACAGGTATTTCAGCATTGTTTTCATCTGCCTAATATGTTTTTTGTAAGCCTGGTGCCCTGTGTCTTTCTCTCACTTTCACTTATACCTTATTCTGTCCACCTTGAAACTACAGGGTGCCCTTTCAGCCTATGGAACAGCAACACGGATCCTTCAGGAAAAAGTACAGGCTGATGTCCCCCCAGAGATTCTGAACAATGTGGGTGCCCTCCATTTTAGACTTGGAAATCTAGGAGAGGCAAAGGTAGGAAAATATAAGTTTCCATCTTTTATGCTATTAAGTTGAATGCACACGTTTTTAGATGTATCAACTAAGTCCCTTAACAAAATAATTTTCTTTTTTTACAGAAATATTTTTTGGCATCATTGGATCGTGCAAAGGCAGAAGCTGAGCATGATGAACATTATTATAATGCCATTTCTGTTACAACATCATACAATTTAGCCAGGCTGTATGAGGCGATGTGTGAATTCCATGAAGCAGAAAAACTTTATAAAAACATCTTACGAGAACACCCTAACTATGTTGACTGTAAGAATTTAAAACTTTTAATGTATTAAAATTCCCACAACAGCAACAAAAATATAGCCTAAAAAAATCTTTCTTAGAACCAATAGTAAAAAAGTTTTGAAGGTTATCATGTCCCCTTTTCTTTAAGGCAAATTTGTGGCCTAAAAAAAAAAGATGCAGCTTTACTTAAATTTATGCTAGAAACTGAAACAACTAAAAATTAATCAGACCATACTTCATAGACGTAGCTACTTGAAGTAGGTGAGCTACCTTTATTAGACGTTTAACAGTGCCTTGGTGATGGATTTATCTTAATTATGGTCCTGCTTTTGTATCATTCATATACATGTATATACACACACACACATATATATACATACATACAAATATATATATATACACATACATACATAGATATATATTTGCAATATTTATAATAGTGACAAAGAGCAGTGTTTTTTCTTGAAATAATCTTTACTAAAAATGTTCCACCATGAATTTTTACAACCTAAACATTGTACAGTTTGGAAAGTTTTTAATTAAAAATTGTTTGCTTACTGTACTTCCCTTAAAAGAATCTAAAACTGGTATTTTGACTCAGGTCAAATATGGAGCTATAAACTTGGCCCCTGACGTCATGTAATAGATGCAGTAATAAATAAGAGAGAGTTTAGTCGATGTCAGATTGAACTTGAATTGATTTGACAGGCAGTAGTAAGCCATGGCTGGTTTCTTGAGGAGTGACATTTTCTGGAGAAAATAACTTACATTTATTTGGCACTTTTTTATTGTTATTTGAGAAAAAGCCATAGTGAGAGCCCAGGTTTTCTGGCGAGCAGTCTTTAGTAGTCTATGTACTTAGCTGTATGACAAGCAGATTTTTAAGAAAAAGTAACTTGACAGTGCTATGCATCAGAAACTGGAAACAGAATAGCCCTAAGCCTTTAAAATAATGCAGCTTGACATGAGCACTGGGAAGAGGGTGCTAGTGCTGGGGTGGAGTGGAGGACGGGCAGCCAGGACTCCCAACAGTGAGACTCATGGCGGCTGAGTTCCCGTACCTCGTTAGACTATTAATTATTTATATTGATACTTAATATGTTTTCACCTGTGGGACTTTTCTCTGTTCATTGTATGTACGTATTAACAAAAAACAATTGTGTCAAAGTAGGACTTTAAAATTATGACCTTTGTAGCTAATATTTTAAACACCAACTCTTACATGTATATTTTTAGGCTATCTGCGCCTAGGAGCCATGGCTAGAGACAAAGGAAACTTTTATGAGGCTTCAGATTGGTTTAAGGAAGCTCTTCAGATCAATCAGGTTGGTAATATTAACTCTTACGTGTGAAAAACAAGTAGCGTATGATCTCACTTATAAGAGGAATCTAATGAACAAAGTAAACTAATGAGCAAAATAGAACCAGAGGCATGGGAACATGGAACAGTCTGAGGACCGTAAGAGGGGAGAGGGGAGGGAGATAATGGTGAAAAGAAGGGGAAGGGGTAAGTCACAGGACACCGGACATGGGAAATGGTGTGGGGACTGACTATGGTGAGGGCGGCATGGGGTGGAGGGAGGCAAAAGGAGAAAAATTGGGACAACTGTAAAAGCCTAAACAAAAAAATTTTTTTAAAGAAAAATAATTATTTCATCTCCCCCCCCCTTGAGTAATCAGTTTTTCCTTTCAATGGCTATCCTATTTCTAATATCTTGGCATCTCCCTGATTTTTTTTTCATTTTCTTGTTGAAGATATTAAAGAGTACAGAATTCATTCATACTTTTTGATTATTATAGTAAGAAGTAGGTTTCAGTGGGGGGATTGACTGGGTGGATGGGGGGATGGCGCAGGGGAGAGCAATGGGGGAAAAGGTGGGACAACTGTAACTGAACAACAATAAATAAAAGAAATAGGTTTCACATCATAGCTTAGTACATGCACGTGTGTGTATAAACAAATGAAAGTTTTAGAAACCATTCTGTGCTTCTGCCATGTGAATGATACTGATACTTTTATTGTATCCCACTCTATTGCATTACTTTTACTGATAATTACACACGAAATTGATTTTACGATTCACTAGTCCATCTCAACTCTCAGTTTGAACAACACTTGTAAATAAATGTAGGTTGTAAACCTCTTCAGTAATCAGCTATTATGGAAAGATGATTGGTTTCTGATTCTAAATGACAGATTTTGCTTCTTTTTGTTTGTATGTGTGTTTCCAGGACCATCCAGATGCTTGGTCTTTGATTGGTAATCTTCATTTGGCGAAGCAAGAATGGGGTCCAGGCCAGAAGAAATTTGAGAGGATATTGAAACAACCATCTACGCAGAGCGACACTTACTCTATGTTGGCCCTCGGCAATGTCTGGCTCCAAACTTTGCATCAGCCCACTCGAGACCGAGAAAAGGTAATTTCTTCTTGTCTCTTTAACACAAAACTGATACTCGTTTTATTCTTGTTTGAATTTTTAAAATAATGTTTGGGGTTTTTCGATAGGAAAAGCGTCATCAAGATCGTGCTCTGGCCATCTACAAGCAAGTACTCAGAAATGATGCCAAGAATCTGTATGCTGCTAATGGAATAGGTGATTATAAGCTTTGGGTATCTGTATTTGTGAAATGAATGCTTTTGGAAGGATGTTTGTAGATCAGAATTTTCCCTTAAATATAATGAAGTCGGTTGTTTTCAAATGGACTTTTGTTTTTCTGGCCACAATTAGAAAATTCTTCACTGTGAACCTTTTTCTAACTTTAGGAGCTGTTTTGGCCCACAAAGGGTATTTCCGTGAAGCTCGTGATGTATTTGCCCAAGTGAGAGAAGCAACAGCAGATATCAGTGATGTGTGGTTGAACCTAGCTCACATCTACGTGGAGCAGAAGCAGTATATCAGTGCTGTTCAGATGGTAACGCTTTGTCTCTCAAGATATTCATATGTCTTGTTTATTGTTGAGCAGATAGTCTCTTAACCACTCTGGGTCTGTCATGGAGTGATATGCTATCTCTTATAATACTTACTGTGTCAGAGGTTTATAATTGTATAATGTTAAGGCCTGTCTTTGGTGTTCAGAGATATGGGTCCTGGGTCCACCAGTAATTACCTCATATTTGTTGAGTGTTTAAACTTGAAGTAAAAGAGTCGTACTACTATAAAAAGTTAAAAGACTTTTGGACTATATAAGAAATATTAGCAGTGGATTGAGCACGGGCCTGCGAACCAGACAATCGCGGTTCGATTCCCAGTCAGGGCACATGCCTGGGTTGCAGACCTGTTCCCTGCAGGCCAATTCCCAGCAGGAAATGCACAAAAGGCAACCATACATTGATGTTTCTCTCCCTCTCTCCTTCCCTTCCCCTCTGAAGATAAATTTAAAAAGTTTCCCCTCTTAAAAAAAAAAAGAAATATTAGGGTCAGAAAAAGCAAGCTTATTAATACTAAAGGTAGATGAGAAAGGTAGATACTATTACTATATTATAGAATATTAAGAAAGGCTCTAGTCACAAGGGCTTACAGGACCCAAGTTCCATATGATAGTCTCAGAGTTGTATTTTTGCAGAAGAGCCTTCCTGAGCCATACAATGATAATGTGGCCTTTTAAAATGCAAATTAATTACTAGTGATATTCAGGGGGAAACTGTCTAATGAAAAAGATCTTTCCTATGCAAGATATGTTCCATGGTCAAAAAGTGACATGTTCATGGTAGAATTAACATGATATTGCTATATTATTGGTTTTACCAAAAAGGTAACAGCCAGAAGTATGAGGCTTCTCGTGCCCTTTGCCAGGAGGTTCCACCAATCCTTAAAAGAAATGGTAGAGAGTATAACTCAAAAGGAGCTAGGTATATGACTTCCAATGAGTAGTCAGTGGCTTGATTTTAGATAGTGTTGCCGAAAGATGAAAACAGCCTTCCAATCTGCTTAGCCTTTCTTTGTTGGTCCAAATTTCAAATGGAAAAACTATTGTAATAATTTTTCTTTTGATCAGGTTTTTCTGTTGTGAAAATGTATCCTGGTGAATATTAAAAATCATCCTCAGATTCTTTGAAATCAACCATCCAGAGGATAAAATACCTTTTTATCTAACTTTTAAATTGCTTGAAATTTTGTTACAAAATAACAATATTATTTAATCCTTGCTGTGTTTTAACTTTCTCCTTTATTGTAGTATGAAAACTGCCTCAGAAAGTTCTATAAGCACCAGAACACTGAAGTTGTGCTCTATCTGGCCCGCGCCCTCTTCAAGTGTGGCAAGCTGCAGGAGTGCAAGCAGACTTTGCTGAAGGTAGAAGAATTCATTTTTTTTTCACATTTAATTCTGTGCTCTGTTACATATATCTTTTATTCTGAGTTATGCATGTTCACAAACTTGCCACTCTATTTGACTAAAATTCTTTTCATGTCATTAGATCATATGCAGTATTCACCTTGTATTTTATTTACAGGCTAGACACGTGGCACCCAGTGATACAGTTCTCATGTTTAATGTGGCTTTGGTCCTACAAAGATTAGCTACCTCTGTCCTCAAAGATGAGAAGAGTAATCTGAAGGAAGTACTTAATGCTGTGAAAGAACTGGAACTTGCACATAGGTAAAGATTTTATAGAAACAACCTTTGAAGTGCTTTATTTCTTTAGACTCATGTGTCTCAAACAGTGCCAAAAGTCACTTTCCTTGTGAATCTATTAGAAAAAGGGAATCCCAAAAGGGAATCTATTCTCACCGTTCCCTCGATTTTTAAACCAGAGCAGATATTGCCACCAGGTGGCGCTAAACCGTAGCAAGGATCCTGCCAGATTTGCATCATGGATCCCCATTCTAAGAAGTTTTGCAAGCTTGTCCTGGATTTTTCATTAACCTGATAATAATATGACCCAGCATTTTATACACCTAAAACATTTAGATTCCACTTTTGTTGGTTTTATTTGTTATGCCAGTGTCTCTTTGTATGTGATACTAATTTTCATTGTGCTAAGATTAAGGCCTTCCCTCTTAAATAATGAATAGGTTTATTCAGCTTAAAATTTATATAATTTTATAGTAATTCTGTGTGTAGTCAAATTAAAACCTGACATCTCTTCAGGCTTTGTCCAACCTTACTTGAAATCTTGTTTAAGTGTTACTTGCCTTGCTTGGTAGATTATAAGCACTTTTATGGCCTGAACCTCCTAACCTCCATGCTGACATAGTTGGTAAATTTAGTGTTTAGTAAGTATTTGTTGTTTGAACTGGCTTTTCGTTATGTGCTAATTTACTGATAAAACTAAATGTAACTTGGCTTTTCTTAATGAACTTGTTTTTTACTAAACAGATTGAGTGGCATATTGATGAGAGTTTTTCTAAGTGAGTTGCATATGTAATTTTCCTATTGAGATGCTAGCCCTTCGTGTATTGAATATGTGCATGTAAGTCAGTTAATATAGAAGCCTTTCTCAGACTGTTTTTGTACAACGGTAACAAATCTAAAAAGCCTGTTTCATTAAAAAAATTTAAGTATTTTATCTTTCCATTTTCTTTAGATACTTCAGTTACTTGAGTAAAGTGGGAGATAAAATGAGATTTGATCTGGCCCTGGCCGCCACAGAAGCCAGGTAATTACTGTTTGTGAATGGCGACTTGGGGTGAGGCAGCGGCAGCGATGTGGGCTGGGAGAGGGACCCAGTGGTGAATGGGGTCCTGGTCTCCCGGGGGTCAGTCTTTCTCACTCCTCGCTCACATATCCAGCTTGGGCCAAGGCTTTTTGCAAAGGGTTCCTTCAGGGTCCTCTTCAGATTGTTTAGGAAACTACATCAGCTGTGTCACCAGAATCAAGATATGATTACCGACTTTTTGAGTCATGTGTGAAGATAATATTGGAAACCTTATAGCTTTGCCTTGGGTGGACGTCTTTAATTTTGGAACAACATTGTTGACAGTACTGGCTTATTAGAAATGAAGTTAATTTTGCTAAGTAACACTTCCCGTAGATATCAGCTAATGATCCTGCTTCAGACTTTTCAGTGTGTGTAAGGAAAACAGATGCTCTCCATTTCTGAACAGAAAGTACACTGGCTGCACTCATGTGTCTCTGCGATCTGAACTGTTCTAGGCAGTGCTCGGACTTACTGAGCCAGGCTCAGTACCACGTGGCCCGGGCACGCAAGCAGGACGAAGAAGAGAGGGAGTTACGGGCCAAGCAAGAGCAAGAAAAAGAACTGTTAAGGCAAAAACTTCTCAAAGAACAGGTATTCATTGTCTGTTCACGTCCGCGAGAATGAAAGAATCACGGTGTGTGCGTGCCTGTGCTGTGCGCGGTGGCAGAGAGAACACCTGACAATGGTTGTGGTCTGTTTTGTGATGAGAACACTCTGACGAGGGTTTGTTCTGCCCTTCTTTTCTCATAGGAAGAGAAACGTCTCAAAGAGAAGGAAGAGCAAAAGAAACTTCTAGAACAGCGGGCCCAGTATGTTGAGAAGACCAAAAACATTCTTATGTTTACTGGAGAGACTGAAGCAACAAAAGAAAAGAAACGAGGTGGAGGTGGTGGGCGGGTAAGAAACGCCTCCCGCTGACACTGCGGGCCTGGGCCCCGTCTTTGACTTTCAGGAATGAAGACGGAGATGATCACATTGTCTCTGCACTTAGTTAGTCCTTAGCTAAAGACAGTCTCTGAGCATGGATTCTTTAAATGGCATCCAGTGTTTAGAAAGGCGTCTCAGCGTTAGTCCAGTACAGTTTACCTTGTGGGTACCTAAGTATTATAGTTGATGATTTTTCCTTTTGAGACATTTATCCTAATTAAAAGTCTTTAAAATATGGGCCTCACCAAGCACCTCTTCCGGGTGACCTGGTATATAATAAGATCCTCCATTTGTCACGGGCTGAGAGGATATGGCCTCTTTCTACACCTTAGAATTCCAGCCACATTCCATCAGCCAGGAAAGAGCTGACTGTAGTCTTATTTGGATTTCAGCGTTCTAAGAAGGGAGGAGAGTTTGATGAATTTGTCAATGATGACTCTGATGAAGACCTGCCAATATCCAAAAAGAAGAAAAGAAGAAAGGGCAGTGGTAGTGAGCAAGAAGGTGAAGAAGAGGAGGGTGGCGAGAGAAAGAAGAAGAAGAGGAGAAGGTATCATAAATGTGTCATAAGTAGCCTTAGAAAGGTGGCAGAAGACCTTTCATTTTCTGAACCTTGCTTATGTTTAGAATTTGCAAACTCACAGAAATCACTTGCTCTTTCAGATAGTAAAGCCCCTTGATACCCCACTTCTTACTTTAATCTTAAGATAGACCCCACTACAAAGACCCCTGCACACCGGAATCACCACAGATCTCCACAGCTTTCCTTCTGAGAGTTAGTCAGAACTAACGGGGTTTTCATGTCTTTAAAACTGTAATGTATGTTGGAAGAGGTGTGCAGTGTAGAGTGAGAAAATCCGGTCTGTCCATGCTGCCGGTCCATGTGAGGTTCTATGGTGAGTCACTACGCCTGCTTCCGCTCTGTACTGGCCACAGTGACACCCACCTCATGGATTTGCTGGCTGTTTGCAAAGTGAGTTATATGAAAGAAGGACTTTTTAATCCTCCCGGTACCGTCCACCACTAAGATAAGTGGTGCCCTGCCCATCTTTCACCTGGAGGCGCCCATAAGCTGTTCCCTCCCCGTGGTGTTTCCCTGTCCAGGAACATACAGTGGGCTGTCTTACCTGGGCCTGTTCTTCCCGACCCTTGGACGACTGTGCTTGGGAAAGAACCTGATGAATTTATTCAAATACAAACCTGTAGAACTGAAGCTAATAGGACACCTGCCAAGAGTAGTTGGGAAGGAAGCAGGAGGAGGTGATGTTGAGGTCTGAAACCTGGGCCTTTTCTCGCCTCCTTGTATCACTGTACCAAATGCAGGGTTCAGACTTGTTTTTGATTAGTGAGAGGGCTCACAACTGCGTTCGCAGACGCTGCATAAATAAATACGTGGGTTTCACAGACCCCTGACCCACCTGCGGCAGAGTAAGTTACGACTTCTGTTACAGGTGAGGGCAGCACCTGTAAAGGATATTCGGAGGAATAACATTTTATTGGCAGGTAGTCTTAGACTTTTATGTGTATAAATGAATCTTGACAAAACCTTTCCTTGGTGTTCACTACTTAAGACCTCCAAAGGGAGAAGAAGGGTCCGATGATGAAGAAACGGAAAATGGCCCCAAACCGAAAAAGCGCCGGCCACCAAGAGCGGAGAAGAAGAAGACGGTACGTGTGTAGTGCTCTGGGCGTCTTGTCCCTGCACAGGGTCTTCAGTGACCACATAAAGGTCGTATACACTAGAGTACCTTCTTTCCCCGCAGTTTCTTCGAGCACAGAGTCTATTTTTGAAATTTATTTGTTGCTGTTCGACTATGTCCTCGTAGAGCACACCCAGCCGAACAAGCTGTTCTGACACAAGAGTCTTGACTAATCTGCTACATTTGCTCTTCTTTCTCTAGCCCAAGCCCGAACGTCTGCCTCCTTCAATGAAGGGAAAAATAAAATCCAAAGCCATAATATCATCGAGTGATGATTCTTCGGATGAGGATAAACTGAAGATTGCTGATGAAGGGTAGGAAATTTTCCCTTGGTACATTCCTCGAGTGAAAGAAAACCAGAGTCTTCCAGGGGTGGTGTCTGCAGGCACTCGGAATGGGCCAGCGTCTGACACACCGTCGCAGGCTGGTCCAGACCCCTGGTAATGGAGTTGTTTATCTTTATACCAAAAAGGATGGAAAAACACCAAAATCCACATGCGGTGTGTGCCCAGGCACACAGCCTAGTCCACGCTGTGAGGCCTGAAGCCCTGACGAGGTGGTTGTCTGAAATGAAAAACCACGTCGGCAGGGCCTGAGCGGCCGTGTGTGCTAAGCTCTGCCCATGCCTGGGTCAGGCTGCTTTTCTCTTTGAGGAGCAGGACATCGTGTGACGGTGTTGCAGGCACGAGCACAGAGTCAGAAAACTAATTTAAAAAAATGCAGTTTGTTTAAGTAATAAAAAGGCTGGAAGGGAAAGAAGGAGGTAGGGAGGGAATGAAAAGTGAGGGGTCACTACCAAAATGTCTTCTCTTAGAACCTTATAATCGGAAGAAACCTTCACACCCACCTGATTCCAACCCTGTGATTTTGTCCCACTATATGTACCCGAAGGAAGAACACCTATTTTGTAACCTCGTTTCTTTGTGAATATTACCTGAAAGCTTCTGCATGGCACTCTCCTAAATATATTATTTTGCTACACTCGTGTTGACTGGCTAAAAGGATTATGAGTAGCCCGATCCTCGTCACGCGGAGCTAGGGACTTGCTTGACCTTTCCTCCCGAGTTGGGCAGGGGTGACTCAGCCCTGCCTGCTTGTCCAGCACTCTCCTGACAGCCCGCCAGTGCCGTAGTGTTTGATCAAGCTTGAGGTGCCCCTATTTGGAATCAGAAGAATAGGACTCATAACGCTATACTACACCGTGTCCTTCTGAAGGCGATCATTTCACTCATCCATCCAACAGACATTTGAACAACCGCTGTAGGAGGTAGTGGCTAAGGGCTTGGGATAGAGAGGAAAAAGACATAGGCCCTGCCTCCAAGGAATGTGTGCTTTAGAAGAAGTGGAGAATCACAGATAAACTAAAAAACATATTATAATAGGTTAAGTTTTATCATTTAGATTTTGCATTTATTGTTCTCCAGGGACCATCTAATCTGAGGTTGGCCTGGTGGGGAAGTCGTAGGAGGTGTCTTTTTGAAAGAGCAGCTCTTTGAGTTGAGTGTTACAAGAAGATAGTCCTGGTTGGTTAGAGGTGAAGCAGAAGTGAGAGGTCAGCGCGCTGCGGGGCTAGGGTGTGGTGAGAGGCTGGCCTGGGGCAGAGCTCTCTGGGGAGCCTTGTGAGGATTCGCAGTTCCCCTTTCTCTGAAGGCACCGGCTGACACAAAGTGAGGTCGCCCTTACGCCCTTACCTGCAGCACCGTTCTGCCCTCGCCCAGTGTTGCCCTGGTCCCTTGGTTAGAGGCGTATGTGACGGGAGCAGTGAAATGCGTGGGTGTAGAATGGGCGTTGTTGATATGTGTAGCCAGAAAGGTCCAGTGTGAGAGCCTGAGCTGCTGCAGAACCTACACCTGAGGCTGAGACCAAGGCCAAGGCCAAGTCGGTTTGAGCCACCTTCATCAGTTAAACTTTGTTCTGACATTTGTGAAGTACTTGCTTATTTGGGCAGATGGAATGGAGAGAATTCAGATGGAATGGAGAGAGTGGGATCCCAGGGGCTCCACTGGCCTTCAGTGTATATACAGAGTGAATATATAGTGTCCTCTTCCTAGTCACTCTTCGTAGTCTCTCAGAGTGAGCTGAGTTACGTAATGTAGGTTTCAGAAGAAAGTCATATATTTACCCCCTCACCTTCTGAGACTGGACCCTACAGGATTCAGTATTCCTTTCTTGGAGTGTCTGTCTTGGGAACCAAAACTGAAGAATATGCTGGAGGAGAAGTATGTCCTCCTCTCCAAAGTTTGGGGGGTGAGTGGTTAAAGGAATATTCTTTCCTCCGGAGCATCCAGGAAGCCAGGGTTCCCTGGGTGCCAGCACCATTTCAGGCGTAAGCACGAGCACCTTCCCTTCCATCTAACCACCGAGAAGCGGGGGGCTCGGAGCAAAGGCCAGCAGCTGCAGAGCTCTGAGCCCGAGGTTGAGCAAGTCAGGTCCTCACAGCTTCTACAGCCAAGTGAGATCCCGGGTTTCACCTTTGCTGCCATGAATTTGTTTACGAAGATAAATGGAAACATCCTTTCTTTTTCATAATATTATATATAAAATTGAGAAATTCTTCATTCTCTTGAAAGATACCTAGTAAAGCCTAGTGAAAATCGTCCTTCACTGTTTAATTGTGTTATAGCTAAAGTGCCTTATACTTTTTTCCTTTTAATACTTTTTTATTATGAACTATATCACATTCATTTTAAAAAGTACACAAAACAAATATCACAAAATGAACATTCGGGTCAAGAAATGGAACGTCAAATGCCATTATTTCTTACAAGCGCGCTCTCTGCTGGTCGAGTTGTCCGTGGGCCGGAGCCCTGGCGTCTAACCAGTGTCCATCTTTTCCCCAGACACCCCCGCAACAGCAACAGCGACTCCGATGAGGGCGAACCGCGGGAGAAACGAGCCTCCTCGGAGAGCGATTCAGATGACAACCAGAACAAGTCTGGCAGCGAGGCCGGCAGTCCCGGGACGCCCCGGAGACAGGGGTCAGACGAGGACTCGGACAGTGACCAGGCGTCCAGGAAGAGAAGGCCCTCGGGTTCTGAGCAGTCCGACAACGAGTCGCTGCAGTCCGGCCGAAGCCGCTCTGGCGGCTCTGAGGCTGACTCGCGTCCGGCCTCCCCGAGCGCCGAGTCCGATCGGGAGTCGGAGAGAGGGTCTGATAACGAGGGCTCTGGGCCAGGCTCTGGGAACGAGTCGGAGCCAGAGGGATCCAACAACGAGGCCTCAGATCGGGGCTCAGAGCACGGCTCAGACGATAGTGACTAGGCTGTATTTCATACGTAAGCCTCATCTCTGGAGGAAACTTTTTTAATATATGAAAGCTGTGATAAACGTTTCAAATGTTTAGTCAGACAGTTGTGACATTTTTCCTAAGGCAGTTTTTTTTCTATCCGTTTGTATATTACTGAGCCCCCACGAGACATTTCCTGTGCTAGAATCCAATATTTGAATCTCTTGTGCAGATGAAGAATGTGACTCTTCTTCATTATGGTACAGTTCCACCTATCATATGTGAAAACTGCAGTAAAGATAAACCCAGCTGCTAAATCATTCCTACAGAGGTTTGAACCTGTGGCAGAAGTCTCAACTTCTTTGTGTATTAGGCAGCATCCAGTTTTGACTTTCGTTGCTATCTTTTCCCAAGTGGTGCAAGAAACTTGGCATTAATGTCTGTGTACCATTTTACTCTTAGATTGAGAGAATTTTATTTGCTGGAGGAAGCGGTATCTACTGTATAATTGTACCAAAGTACAAATGAAAGGAAGGTTCTCTTCAGTAGTGTAATCCTGCAGCCATGTAGATAAATTGCAAATGTATACTTCATTGGGTTGGATAAGATGTAGAAAAATGCTTTTCTGGTAGTAGAATGCAAAAAGCTACCTAAGCTACGTAATAAAATTCTTTTACCAACTTTTTTGGGTAACTCTGTTTTTTTTTCCTCAGTACATTTGTATATGAAAATTTAGCATAAATAAACTACACAAATTATTTGGAAGAAATTGAACTATGCTAAAGGTTGTTTACTCAAAACATTTGTAATTCTTTGTAGATTTGTGGAGTTTTTTTAAAGATACAAGAAAACAAAGGTACTAGTATGAGTTTTATTTTCAATAATTTAGTCATTAACAATTTAGGAGCAAAATTTTTATTTAGCACTATTACCGTTTATAAAAGCTATAATTAATGTAGTCAATAAGTATTGAATACATTATTAGGTATTGGGAATGGAGAGGTAAAAAATCTTTCCTGTCCTGAAAAATCTTATGGGGACGATAAGTTCATTATCCCTATGGTGTGAAAAATGGGGTAATGTTTGCACAGGTTGAGGGATCACAAGGGAGGATGAGGTCAAGACCAAGTTTCCTGATGGGCGGGAGGCCTGAGATGACTCAAAGGACCGGCCACGTGGAGAATTAAGGGAGGTGTTATAGGCCATGGTAGTCGCGTGTGCGGCTCTAGGAACGGGAATAACTGAGGGAGGCAAGGCTTTGAGAGGGGAAGAGCCTGAGATTCAGAAGTTCGTGCAGCTGTGAAAGGTGAGGTTCAAACAACCTGCTTTTTCCAGTGTCACAGAGAAATTAGTTCATACCCAAATAACAAAACTCTATCAAAGTTAAAAAGCATTTTTGAACTGAGTTCTTTTGAACAAACGTTCTTTTCTAAACAAAAGTTCACTGGTAGATGGTCCCTTGGAGAGGTACTTACGGAGGGATTTAACCTGATGCCAATAGTAATTTAGCGTTTCACTGCCTGCTCCAGGTTGGGCTACAAAGGTGTTTTGAGTGCATGTCCTCACTTGCAACCTCGGAGGCAGTTCCACATCACTATGGGTATTTCTCTCAGGCGTGCCCTCGGGTTAGCAGAACAGCAGTGGTCTTCCCCAGTCACATGGTTGCAGCTCCCCTCTGGCCAGAGTTTGGCAAACGAGATGACAGATACCATGGATATGGGGATGGGCGATGTCCCACTAAGGAAGGGAAGGTCCCTTGTCTGGCTAAGGAAACCTGACTGACCTGTTAGCTCTGCTGCCACTTGCCCTCAGGAACTCAGAGGAGCTTCATTGCCCTGGAGCCTGCACGCCAGGATTAGCCTTCCTTGATTTTTTTAAGTATAATTGATGTAGAACAGTTTCAGGTTACACAACATGATTTGATATTTGTATATAATGCAAAATGATCACATTAAGTCTAAATAACATCCGTCACCAGTTACAAAAATGGAAAACAATGCAGAGTTTCCTCCAAAAATTAAAAACAGAACTACCATAGGACTGGGCAATTCCCCTTCTGGGGATTTATCAGATAGAAAGAAAACACTAACTCAAAAAGATATCTATCTACACCCCTGTGTTTACTGCAGCATTGTTTACAATCTAAATAATGGAAACCTAAATGCTTGTGGAGGGTGGGCTGGCTAAAGAAAACGAGAGACACATTGGCAGGCAGACTCATGCAGCACTAACGGTGATAAGCTAATAGGCTTCTTCCACAGAAAGACTGAGGTCCTGGCCTATTACCCCTTGCTGTGCCCTGAGGGTGACAGCTATGTGAGACACCCCTGGGTCAAGTCAGAGGGAGGATGCAGAGATTGCACGCACCAGCCTCTTCTCAGAGACCAGCTCCATGGAGCCCTAGAGGTGTGCCAAACCAGAAGCCTTCCCCTCAGGTCAAGGCTCCAGACTAGCAAACAGGCCTTTTTCACAGGAAGAAGGGGTTGGGGCGGGGTGAGGGAGTGAGGGGTCCTGCTATCCATGCAGTGCCCAGGGGTTGCTAGCTGGCCAAGAACTATCTCTGACATTACAGTTCTGTGAAACCAAGGAAAATAGCCCCTCTCTCAGAGCCAGGAGATCAGGGGGTGTCCCCTGCACAGCAACCACAAAAACTGGGCCATCAAATGTAAGAACCAGGGCACTAGCCACAGAGAAGCTCCCGGCCGTCTGGAAGATACTGGGGCTCCGGAGGGCAGTGATGGGCTGAGGGCACATGAAAATGGTGAAGGCAAAAATGGCACCCACCCCAAAAGGTGAAAATAAAAAGAACGGGAAAAGCCTTTTGGCTTCGGAAAGGCAGAGAGCAGCAAGATGGCACCAGCTGGCTGGAGCATGAAGACGGCAGCCCCAGGAGAAGAAGATGGCACCTGTGGGCCAGCTTGCAGGACAGTCTCCCCTCCTCCGAGGGTTTAAAGTTAGTAACTGAGCCTCTTTCACTTAAAGTAAGCACTTTTCTTTCTTTTTTTAAAAAGATTTTGTTTATTTATTTATTTCGGAGAGAGGAGTACAGGGAAAGAGAGAACTACCCTACGAATCCTCTGGACCCAGCCCAGACCCAGGCACATTGCCCTGACTGGGATCCAACAGGTGACCTTTCGCTGCGTGGGACGCACTCAGCTAACTGAGCCACACAGGTCAGGGCTAGAGCCAGCACTTTTCCGAGGCTGCTTCTGCACTGGACGCTGGGTGAGCGAGTGCCCGCGAGCCTGTCTCTCAGTTCGCCATGGCCCACGGGTCTTTGGGCACCAGCCCCACTGGTTCTCACAGCTACCTGTTATGGGGGCTTGTCTTTCAGGTGCAAGTCTTAAAAGTTGGGGTGTCCTACGTGGGGTATAAACTCTGCTCCTCGGAGAAGCTCTGGGCTGTGAGTTCCCTCCTGATTGTGGGTGGGAGTGGGGTTTATGGGAAGGTTATGCCAGTCTTTCCTACCAGCTTTGATGTGCTTTTTCCCCTTCATTTGCCTGAACTGAAGGAGTCAGTTTTAGGACGGGTTTGTTTGTTTGTTTTTGTTAGGGGAAATTGTTCCACACATAGCTGTAGTTTTGGTACCTCCTCCAAGGACTTGAGTTCAGGATCTTGTCACCATTTTGACTCAAAACCTCAGCCTTCCCCTTCTCCGTGGGGTTAGTGTGAGCAGGAGAAGGCGGCCACACCTGAATAGCTGGTTAAGAGCAGACACACTGGAATCCAGAAGTCCCTGGAATCGTCCCAAAAATCTCACTTTGTGATGCCGATAAGCCCTGTTGTTACTGAACACAGGTGGGGGCCTGCTGCCCACCACCATCCCTCTAGGCAAAGTTCCAGAGGCAAAGTTTTAGTGATAAAGGCGTCTTTATTCAAAAGCTTCACAATTTTGGAATAACTGCTCTCCATATGCACTAATCCCTTAAGCTTATGAATTAAAGCTAAACTCTGTAATTCTTTAGTTACAGCTTTAATCACTTAAACCTATCAATTAAAAGCTAAAGCTTTAACACCTGAGTTGTTCTAGCATTTTCCCCTTATACGTTTTAATTATCTTATTTCTATAGGGTTAGCTTACAAACTAAAACAATAGAAGGTACAAATGCTACACAATTTTGGAAAAACAGAAGGCTTCTGCCTCAGAGTTTGTCCCCTCTAGGACACCCAGAGAAGAATAACCCTGCCACCCTCTGCCAGGCCAGCCCAGTCCTAGGCTGCACCTGGAGTTCCTTCCCACTCAAATACTACCCTCTGGGAAATGCAGGCAGCTGTAGCACAATCATCCACACTGGAGAGAGCCAGAGAGCCGGCCCTCGTTTTATTCCCATGCATTCTGGAGGCTTTGAGCTCTCAGCCAATCCTATCCTAGAGTGTTCACCATTGGCTCAGGCAAAATCCTCCTATGGCCCCTCCCTACTTCTCCCCATAACCTGATCAGATCTCACTGCATCGATGTGACCTTGGACAAGTCACTTCCTCATCTAAAACAAGCCATTTCTCCTACACTGTACGTTTTTTTCCCTTTTATTTTGTATTGGTTTCAGGTGTACAGCTTAGTGCTTAGACAATCATATACGTAGTGTGCCCCTGATACTTTCAGTACCCCTACAGGCACCGTATATATTTACTGCAGTATTATTGACTATATTTCCTATGCTTTACTTACTTCCCCATGGCTATTTTGTAACTACCAGTTTGTGCTTCTTACTAAAAACATGGAACACAACGAATTTGCATGTCTTCCTTGCACAGGGACCATGCTAATCTTCTCATGTCATTCCAATTTTCGTATTTGTGCTGAGAAGAGCACTACACTGTAAGTTTTGAAAGCCTCAGTTGGATCTGTCACAATTAGAGGATGTGAATTGCATTGGCTTTGATGTTAATTCAGAACTAGACCACGTACCACAACCATAATTAGAACTATTAAATTTTATAATAAATTTTGCCTAAATTTAGGCAAGAAAAACCACATTGTTATTCTGACTCTGTAACTAAATCACTTCTTCCGCTGACATTAAACTATTTTTATAACATAAGTTTTCCTAAGCGAGCAACTATTCCATTATAGCAGAAGTCTCTGCCTAATTCATAGGGTTGTTGCGAGGATTGTGAAGGTAGACTCAGTGGTGAGCATGTGGCAAGTTCCCAGAAAAGTCCTCTCCCGGGTCAAATCGGTTCTGAACGTCCAGCAGTGGTCGTCCAGCTCACTGAGTCTTGTTCAGACCAACTGAGGACTGGGTCGGTTACTCCTTCCTAGGTCCTTCTTTTAAAAACCCTTGCTTCTTCCTATTTCCCCTTAAGAAAAAAAAGTTACTGATTGATTTTAGAGAGAGAGAGGAAGGGGGAGAGAGAGAAACATTGATTTGATCCCACTTATTTATGCCTTTGTTGGTTGCTTCTTTTGTGTGCCCTGATGGGAGGTCAAACCCGCGACCTTGGCGTTTCTGGGGCAATGCTCTAACCAACTGAGCTACTCTGCCAGGGCTGGAGAAAAGTACTTTTTATCTCCAAGCAATATAACTTTCCTGGAGCTCTTTAAGCATCCTTTGTTTTGATTCCACTAATGAACAATTTCTTTCCTGGGGGAGTAAGTAGCCAGTAGAGGCAAGAAAGACATTTTAAAGGAGACTAGTTTGAGCTCCTAAAAGTAGAATGTGGAGCACAGGCCAGTGCAG